AATTTTCTAATTTATATTATATTTATATTAAAATATGTACTGATAGAATTAAATAAAAACTATTTGTCATTATTATCTCTATGTACACGACATTTCTTTGAATGCATCAGGTTTTACAAAAACCACTTAATGTGGTACTTGGTCGACTAAGCCCGATTAAACAAATGATTGCCTTATTAGTAAATTTTGTGTGTACGAATGCAACTGACGTAACAATCAACGCAGTATGTGACTATCTAAAAGGGAATATTTAAGAATATGTATTCTTAAAAGAAAAAGAAAAATATCATGTAAGTTATAAGTAAATTTTAGACGTTAAACATGAAATTATCTTTACCAATATGTTAATGATATTTTTGAATTTTTTATATTAATAAATTAATTTTTTTGCAGAAGGGATAACTTTTATCATTAACTTTGTAAAGGCACTGTTATAAAACTATACCTATGAAAAAATGCACTTATGACGATATTCCCTTTAAAATAAAAAAACCGATTTTTTTCTAAGGGATGTTTCACCCCCTTAACGTGCGATTCAGCACGTATAAAAAAAATTGTAGTATCTTATTTTGTTTGTAGTTTAACATATCCAAAGCTCATTGAATTTGGAGGGGGACACTTCTGTGTTATTTCCTTGTTAGCTCGATAATAAAATATGGAGTTATTTTCTAAAGAAAATATACAAATCGGAAAATTTCTAATAAATCGGCGCTTCAAAAAAATTTAATTTAAATTAACTTTGATATTAATAATAAATATCGAAATGAGAATGCAAATAAAAATATCCCGAAATATCTTGACTACCTAGAAATAAGACATTCGATTTTACAATACTAAATTTTTTTGCAGCTAAAGGATGATTCGCGCGGAATACTATGTCAAGTTTTATCGCAAAACTAACAATTTTCTACCAATTAAGTTGCGATGTCCTTCGTTTCAAGCTATTTTTTAAATGCTTTCAAAGTGATATCGGACGACAACGTCACATGTTTTATCTTACAAGATACAAATTTTCAGAAATTTGTATACCTAAAAAATATCGTGTTGCGAATTTTAATGATTTTATCGTTTATTTGCTCATTGGATTTACTGAGT